ATAATCATCATTGAAATCATTATTGATAATTTGTTATTTATCGATACCATGATTTGCAATTTTCAACAAAAATTTTTTCAATGTATATTCGTTGAATGGAATTTATTTATTGAATTTTCTTTGTTACCGTTTTTCCATTGTATTTATTTGATATTTTAATCGATTGTTGTTTATTCGAATTCTCTTTTCCAAAATACAAATTAAATTAAAAAATTCGAAAAAAGAAATTATTGATTTTCTCCATTTGACTGCCATCTATCTGCCATTGATCGTTATGGGGAAAAAATAGTGACCGAAAAAATATTTAAACATTTTTCGTTTATTTACCCACAGATAGATCAAAAGATCACGATGACAACAGACTACCTGAAAAAAATTCATCCTCGAAAACAATGTCCCTGTTTCATTCAAAGATGATGATAATTATCGATTTATGAAAATTTCCACTTCAAATAAACAAATTTCTTTTTTTTAAATTAGAAATGTAAATTGATAAACAAAAACTTCTCAATAAATAGACTTGGAATTTTATAATCGATTCACCAGCAGAAAAAAAATTGTTTATAAATTTTTTTTACATGGTTATTCAGGTGATCAAAATGATACTCCACTTTCAGTACAAGCGAAAAAGCGAAAAAAAATGCAATAAAATTTCAAAAAATTTTTGTTCCATTAACATTTTTCTGCCAAACAAAACAAAAATCTAAAACACTTTTTTTAAAAAAAAAGTTGTTGTTGATGGTGAAAGGTGGTGAACAAAGAAATGACATAAAATGAAAACAATATTATCAATATTATCATCAATTTGTAAAAAATGTTGTATAGGTTTATTAATATTTTTAATCCTTTATACATTAATTGTAACATTAATGTTAACATTTTGTTTTGATTTTCTAATCAAAATTATTCATCTAACACCTGGTACAATACATCATAATGATACCAATAAAAATATTGTAATTATTATTTTTATTATTTTTGGAAAAATTTTAAAAAATTCTCTTCTCAACAGTTTGAATTGATTGAATCACGTGGTTTTCGTTATGAATCACATTTTATTCAAACGGGTAATGGTTATATTCTACAATATGTTCGGATTGTCAATCCATTTTTATCATCATCCAAGATCAAAGCACCAATATTACTTCATCATGGCTTTCAAACTAACGGCCAACAATGGTTTATTAATCGTGATGGTTTTCTAAATGAAAATGGTGATTATTTGGAATTAGATCCGGATAATGATGATCGATTGATTATCGATAATAAAAATGGTACTGTTGGTAACACAATTGGTTTTGTTCTATCTAATCGTGGTTACGATGTTTGGATTGCAAATTATCGTGGATCATTTTATTCAAAAAATCATACAACACTTGATATTCATAGTAAGTGTTCTGTGTGAAGCAAAACAGAAAAAAATAATTAATTCTTGATGAAAATCATATAGGCACTGAATTTTGGTCATTTTCAATAGATAATATGATCAATGAAGATTTAAAATCATCAATTGATTATATTCGCCATCTGACTAATCGTACATCAATCGGTTATATTGGCCATTCACAAGGATCATTCATGATGTTTTCATTATTATCTAAACATCCGGAATATTCTTCATATGTCAAACCATTTATTTCATTGTCACCGATAATCTATTTGTCATCACTTGATGCTTTATGGTATCATTATACGCCTATTCGTTTAGTCGAAAAATCTTTAAGGTATTTGAAATTTTCTATTCAAATGAACAATAACCATTAACAATTATTATATAATGATTTGATTATCATCATATAGATTATATCCACATGAATTTCCTATGTTTCGAAAATTTTTAATCTATATTAGTAATTGTTGTGAAAACATTTTAATGAATCGTTTATGTTTTCTATATCTTCGATTTGTGAATGGTCAAAATTATGATGAATCATATAAAAATCGTATCGGTATTTATATGAATAATATGTTAACTGGAGCATCAGCATGGAATGCTGCACAGTTATTACAGATTCCATTAAATGGTGGCGAACCACGTTATTTTGATTTTAATGATGATGATTTAAATCGTCAACATTATAATGGCCAAACAATACCACCAATATATAATATATCGAATATACGATCGAAAAATATTGCTTTCATCTATCCACCAAATGATATTTTCAATATAATGACGGATATTGAAAAATTAAAATCAAATCTTAAATGTATGGGATTCATAAGAGAGAAAGAAAAATTTTCACAAGTTTTTTTTACAATTTTTAATTCTATCTTTTTTTTCTTTGAATAGTTGAATTAATTGACGATTATATGCTACCGGATAATATTTCACATATTGGAATGATTTGGTCGAAAGATGTTGGTCATTCAATAAACAAACGTATTATAAAAATTTTGACAAAATATTTCAAATAAGGGATTTTCGATTTAATATTAAACACAACACATATATTTACGGTCGAAAAAACATCATTTTAATCTATTAACACTTTTACTGTTTGCTTTGTCTTTATTTAAATTTCATATCATATCATAAATAATAAACAACAAAAAAAATGTATAAAAATATTTTTGTTTGTTTTTCTCTCAAAAAAGACGACAACAGGTTAAATGGAATAGTAAAGATAGACAGAACAATAACAAAATAACACCGATACAAATTACAGCAAATACAACATTATTATTCTTAAGCCATTTACGGAATGGTCCATTAAACCAATTTTTTATTTCATCAAATATATTACCACCACCACCACTTGGATCATCTGGTCTGCCATGTTCATAATCAAAACCAAGATTCTTAAAATATGAACCAGATGAAATATTTGTACCATCATCTTGTTTTATCATAGCATTTGATTCGGTTTGTTCGATTGTTGTTGTTGGATTATATATTTCTTTAGTTTGTCGTTCGGATTCATTGTTTACAGAAGAATTATTCTGTATGAATGTACCATTTTCATGTTTATCGGCCATAATTAATAGGATTCCTTTTGAAAAAAGAAACAAAGAAATTATTGTCAATTCAAAATCATTTTTAAATAATTTTCATACCAAATGGATTGTTGCCATCGAATATTATGGTCAT